GTGAGCGTTGACGTTTGTAGTGCGTCCTCTTCGCCTTTCGCTTCGTTTTTTTCGCGGTTTGTTGTTGGTCTGGCTGCTTATTAGAGAAGCCATCAAAGTCAAATAGGCGGCGCGGTGTATCGGACAGATTTTTGTGGTATAACTTTACAAAGCGACCTGGGCGTTCCCTGGTCATCTTGCGTGGTCGGAAGAGCGTGCGTTGTAAATCGCGTTTACGACGTATATTAACAGCGCCAACCTCCGCACCGCCACTGCCGTCTTTGACGTAACCATCATCCTCATCACCACCACTAGCAGTTTCGAAGTTCATAGCCATTGGTGTCATGTCACTTAGAGAAGAACCCCTTAGAATTGCATTTGGCGAATATGGAGTTGAAGCCGCGCGACAACGATTGCATTTACAGTTCGGTCGCCGGCACTTGCATGGAGGTTGGGATGGCATATTGTCGAATACATACCTATAGAGCGGTTTGGTGATGCCGCATTGTCCACAACGGCAGGTGGACGGGGCAGATGGTGCGGTATCACTATCTTCGCAATCTTTAAGAAATTAATTGTTATTATCATTTATCATTCGTACGCCTGCAAACACTCGTTTAAATCGAAACTCACCGCCCTTTTTGACTGCCACACGATCGACTTTGGCGAACAGATTTAATGTGGACGGTTTGGCAGGCTTCGGTGTACGTGGCTCTTCGACTGTGAAATCGAAACTGTATGTCACTTTCGCTTTTGCTGGACGCGAAATTGGTACGTCCACCTTATAACCGTACTCGCTAGGCGTATACGGACATTTCTTTGATTTCGGCACACTTGGCACATTTACGGTATAGTCCAACTTCGACGGGCAATCACAGCCTTCACCGGTATAGATGACTTCGATCGGTACACAATGGGCCAAAGCAATCTATATGTAAAACACATTGTTGGTATAGTTATTTTTGAAGGGATTCACAAAAAAAACAAACAGTCCATTAATGCATTGTTGACGGTAGTAGCCAGCTTACCAAACCCAAGCAAAAAAATAATGCTATCCACGCCAGTTTTGCATGCAAACCCATTTTCGATATGTTATTTTCACGTACTAACTGCTTGTCATCCGGTAAATTCATCTTTATATAAATCACAACTAGTAGCTAATTTTTGCTGGTAGTGTCTTAAATCTTGAATCAGAGCAATGTGTTGTGAGCTTGAATTCGTCGTGTTTGTGGCTTCTAGCATGTAAGTTGTTTTCAATATTTTTCTTCCAATTTCACTCGACCTTTCCCACTTGCTCGAATTGGCAAGACAAGTTTTTGCAAATCGCACGTTGTGTAGTGCGGAAAAATAATTAAAAAAATGTGCGCTGTATCTTCATCTGAACTCTTCTGGCACGCGTTTGGGTTCAACGACGGGAAGCGTTGCTCATATAAACATGCATTGTTGTTGGTGGATGAGGGTGTTTTGACGCAACATATTTAGAAATTTCGAAGTAACTATGTATGCGCATATGTATGTATAAATAGATACTGTTCTCTTCGCACCTCGATCAGTAAGAAGATACCATTGTACAAATGCTTCGAAGCGTCTTTCCATTTGCAATTTAACACTACGGCGGGAAATACAATTTTCGGGTTTTCTATATACAGGTTTTATAGGAAAAGCATTATCTAAAGCAAAACTCTTGTAAGTGAGACCAGTGTGGTGTGTGTGTGTTAATTCAACGTTTCTCTTTGACAGAAGTTGCGATATCAGACCGAAATTTTTCTTATGTTATCGTTAGAAAACTGGGGAAATCACACTTCTCATAGCCCGAAATTAAAGTGATCGAGATTTCATAGATCAGATATTTTAATTCAGGTTATATGAAAAATAATATTCCAAACTTTTGGGTCCTGCTTTAGGTACAGTGATCATATTTATGGCAACCGAATACGTGACAAGACTTATTGTTCCGAATTTTTTTCCCCATAATCTTCCTTTTCCAACTTTTAGCCTTCTGCTTTTGAGTTGAAGTTGTTGAAGAAGCAATTATTCATACAAACAGAAATAGTTTTTTTTTCGTGATTTCACCAAATATGTATATAGTTATCTTCTCTTTTTCACAAAATTTGAAAATTGCGTCCACATCGAGGCATATTGGCAGATAATTGCATCATGACAAAAACAGAAAGCAAAAAAGGGCAAACAATTCGCAATTTACCCGAAATTCTGAGGGTATACGAGTTAAACCTTGTTTCTTATTTTATTTTTTTGATTTATTTTTATTTTTTTATCTCAATTTCTTGTTTACGCTCTCGCTGCTAGTGCTTACTGTAAAGGTTTAACAAACCTATGTACAGTGAAACCCGCTTAAGTACCTCCCGCTTAAGTAACCAACATTTTTGGTCGCCGTGAATATTGTAATGTAATCTGAAGAAAAGCCCACTTTTAAGTACCTCCCCGCTTATTTACCCAACCCGTGTAAGTACCTACATTTTTCGTACCCCATTTACCATTTTACTTAAAATTTTCCCCTTTTAAGTGCTACCGCAACACGTTCGGCGAAAAATTCTAAAAATTCAACGGTAATTTTTAGCCACTTGAAACTTGCACATTATTACACTAAAATTGAATGAGCTATATAAACACTTCTGAGAAAAAAGTTTGAAATCTTGATGAAATTTTAAAATTTCAAAAAGCTGCCATTTTTCGTGAGGTACTTAAGCGGGTTTTACTGTAATACTGTTTCATGAAAATTACTTCTTAATTGTATGTGATGTATTCTGGAATTTGTTGAAAAGTTTTTCTTTTTTTCATATTAATCCAATAGAATACTCTCGGTAAGAAGACCACCGTTGCGAGTAGGTAGAGCTGTAAACTGCCTCTCAGAAGGTTACGAGATCGAGGACAGATCGGCGGGGACTTTTTCAATTTCTAGTTTTAACATTTAATTAGACAACGTTATAAAAAACCATAAGATTTCTTTTTGGTTTTATTAAAAAGATTTGCCCTCTGGAAGCAAGAGGAATATATTCTTAACAAAAAACCGTAGATATATCTTATTAGTTTTGTTCCATTTTATTGGGTGCTTTTCTCTCTATGCAATATCATTTTTTAGACATTTCATTCTCATGACGAATAACAGGACTGTCCACTTATAATACAGGACGCATATGCGGCAATATTGCTAATTGATAATGTTTAAGGAATATTTTTACAGCACATAAATTTCAATGTTCTCCCTACCCAATAAGCATTTAGGTTTGATTTGAACTTGCGGTAAAGTTGAGAGTTAACGTACCTCTTAAATATCGCAACTTTTTTCAATAGTTAGTACCTCAAATGGAGAATTATAGCATTCCTAACAATGGTTTTTTGTATGGCAATAATTCTGATCCTCAACTTGATCGCAAATATAATTATAGAATTGGTCTCAAATGTACCCTGGCGATTGAAAGTGAGTGCATGGTGATTTTTGTTAAATATTTGCATTGCTTTTCAAGTTACATTTTTTTGTTGGTTTTTTATAAAAATGTGGGTCATGCTTTTACCAAAATTTTACCAGTCAAACTTTGTATAGAATTCAGAAAATTGTGAACTTTTTAATCTTTTATAAATTCTGTATAAAATTTGAAAGTTTACGTATGGCTCATTCCACGGTAATCGATATCGAACAAAATGAAAATAAACTTACGAATTTGATTGCAATATTTTTATAGGTAAGAGTTAATAAATCCAACTTTGAAGGCCGCAACCCAACATTTCGTAATTTATCTTGCAATCAGATACACTTCTTGCACAGTGTCAAAAAGCGACGAAAGAACGGCTATGTTGCGGGCGTCTATGTACGAATTGCTTTGAAGTATTCATCTCCTTTTCATTTTGACAAGAAAATAAACATATATGTTGGTCACGCCTGTCACATGTCAAACCCGCCACAAGCAAAGTTATACAAGTTTTAATAACCTCGGCCCGGGAATGCTACGATTACTGATCTGCTAATCTGAAATGTGTCATATAGTTTAATCGACTTGGTTTTACCAAACCAGTTTCCACCGTTTTTTTTTCAAGTTTTTAAGGGAAATCTCTAAATACATAGCTTTAAAAATATATCCTAGTTTATTCGGAGGTGATCAGTATATTATATTTTATTCCAATAAATAAATGTCTGACGCTTAAACGTTTTCTACGTGTTTGGCCGCTATTTGGAAAAACTTCTTTTTTTATGTTGCGGGGTTTGAAATTGAACCACAGGCCTCCCGAGTGGCAGTAGGCACATCTAAGCATTCGGCTGTGGCGGCAAGTGCACTACTCAAATCCGAAAAAATGCAATAAAGTATTAAAAAAAGTTAAAACAAGACCTTTCATCTAAAAACAAACTTTGAACTTATATTGCTTGCTCTTTTCTAAATAAAGCTATCTTTTGTTTTATTGGAATTTTTGGTCATGACTTTATACCAACATAAGCATTTTAACTGTATGAAAACTAAGGAAAATAAACCTGGTTTATCCGTTTTTTTTTCATAATATCAAAACCGGATACCGGTTTTTTCAAATTGCAATTTTTCAAATAACTCAAACTTCGGTTTTGGAAAAAAGGCGAATAGTCGAACAGCTTGGTATCATATACCTGGTTGTGAGCATCGATGATAAAGCTAATCATAAAGAGATGTTGCTGAAGCGATGACAAAACTTAGGCGGCGGTTCTGCGAATTTTGTTCGCGCGAAATCGTCTTGCCAATGAAATTCCTACAATTGGTATGTTGTGGTTTCGGTAAGCAACTTAACCAATGTACTCAGATCCGTTACTAGAGTTCACTCTGTGCGCGTTTGAGCCAAAGTGCGCAAATGTGAAATATTCGACAGTTTTTTACAACAAACATATGGCAACGTTTCGCACAAACGCACAGCTGAAACGCTAAACGCCTTAGCTATACCGCCACAGATACAAATAAACCATTACTTAAATTGTTACGGTAGAAACAGTATGTATCTCATATGGTTCATATTTAATACTTAATATTTAATACGGTAACTTAAAAAATATTTAGCAATAACTTACATTTTGCATCAATTTTGAAGCGAAGAAAGAAAAGACAAAACACGCAGACAGAGAACTCTCAAATCAAATTAAGAATGTGCCCGTGGGAATGTGATAATTCGCCATCGTAATTGGGGAAGCGAACAATGTAATTCAGGGTGCCGCGAGAAAATCGTTTTATTTTTTAATTTTGATTCACAAAGTATTATCCTAAAGACTAGACTAGGCAAAATTTTAGATCAACCAAAATATTATCCAATTGGTTATTTAAAATTTGTTTAATATTAACGATTTTTTATGGGTTCCCCCATTGCATTTTTTCGGTTTTTGGGGGACCTATAGAAAATAGTTAATATTAATAAATTATTAAATAAACGATTGAGTGTTTTTTCTGAAAGTCTCCTGAAGAGAAAGAGGTTGTAGATTGAAAAATATTGATTTTCTACAATTTCTACGAAAAAAATAGTTTTTTCTCCATATGAAATAAATGGTAAACTTTGAGCGCTTTGAGCCACCTCTAAATCTTTTTTGATTGACCTGAAACTTTGCATAGTTTTTTAGTCTTTAGGCTATTCACACATTTCTAGGGGGTGAGACCGAAATAAGGGCCACCCTAATGTAGATATCACATTTCGCTAATATTCTGAAAACATTTACCAGTCTTCAGTGTGACTGCTTCGTCAGCATCTGACTTCCGCATTAATAAAATTATAGGCCACTTTTTCTTATCACTACTACATATATACAGCTTAGTATTCAGCTTACAAGAAAAACCAAAAAAAAAATATGCATTTCAAAACCGCTCAAGAAATGTAAAAGAAAATGTGTTCTATATGTATGTACATACAGTGACTCAAATAAGTGACCATGTGTTGATGTTTTAAAAGAGCGTTCGCAACAAAATTTAAAAATTCGTCTTGATTCTGTTTTAAAATGGAAA